TGTTCCCTTATTTACTCGTCTTTCCTCTGGCTTGAAGCCATTTTCGTAAGTTGGGATAAATAATTTGTACGTTATATTCTTATGAATGTTTTTTTAAGTTCGACTTTTCTAATTCTATCAAAAAGTTTGTTGATTTTGATATAAGTAGGTAGTACATTGTTGAGTATTTTCACATATGATCATTCCTCTGTCCTTGGAGGTCATTCCTCTGTAAACAGTATTCCATAAATGATGTTCTGAATTTATAAAATGAAGAAAATATATGTGTTCCTCTGTGCAGAAAGTGTTTCATTCAATATTCAAACTGTATCCATAAGTCAGGGACCTTTTTGTCAAGTTATAATTTTTTCCAAATAAAACCTTCAAATATAACTGGTTATGGAGAATCACCCATATATATATATATATATATATATATATATATATATGAGCAGTAATCACTGCCATTGCTAACGACCAGTTGGGCAAAAACTACAATTAATTGTTAATTGGGAAATTGGCAAACTTTTTGGAGCCTTTTTCAGGAGCTGAAAACACAATTATGATGCTAGCATTCAATAGAGGAAAGACTTAAATTGTAAAACAACTTACTCGGCATTGAGGTTGCAGCCAAATGGCGTTTCAAAACGAACGCGGGGATGAGAGCACTTGTTACAAATATAAAACCAACCGGACGGATACATTGGGCTTATTGATAACGACGGAAACCATCGTTAGGTGTTAACAATATATATCAGTACACCCGAACACATTAAAAATTAACGAAAAGCAATTTTGGGGACAAAAGCCGGAACGTCCCTTCTAACCTCCTACATCTGCTTCACGTGGAGAAGATCAGCGGACCGGAAGAATGATGCATCGACAGATGACAGGTGATTGTCGCGAAAGAATGTGGAACTGTAAACATCATTGCCAAATTTCAGGTATAATGTATACGAGGGACGCTCGGTAAAACCTCAACCTAATTACCAAATTGCTGAATTAATTTGTTCTCGAAAAACTGTGTGTGTTCATATGAGTATACGAGTGTAAGATGGAGATACGCGCTTGAAAAGATGGGTTATGTGAAATATATTCGATTAAATTAAATTATATTAAATTTGAAATTATGTGAAATTATATTAAATATACATATATATATATACAGGGTGTTCCATAATTATTGCGACAAAATGATAGGGGTTATAGAGGGCATCAAAATGAACAATTTTGCCTTATAAACCCCTGTTCGGAAATATGCCGTTTGGGCTGCAGCAAAAAAAAGATCAGTTTCTTGAAACAGCTTACCTACAGTAATTGCTCAAAGTGTCCTCCACCTTGCTCAATACACAGCTGTGCACGATTGTTCAATGATCGGCGAACTCTGTGGCATACCCCCGGTATGTCCTGAACATGTGCGGACGCGGCCATCACTCTTCCCAGTCGCTTTTGTTGATTGGGAACAGGAGTTTCGTACACTAAAGCTTTCAGATGGCCCCAGAGAAAATAATCCAGTGGGGTCAGGTCGGGTGACCGCGCAGGCCAATGCAATGCACAGGGCCACCTCGGCCTATCCACCTATTTGGAAATTTGTCGTCCAAATACTGCCGCACTTGTAAAGAAAAGTGGGCTGGAGCGCCATCGTGTTGAAACCACATGTTGGCTCTTATGTTCAGTGGCACATTTTCTAATAGTCCCGGTAGCACAAGCTGTAAGAATCGACCATAAGCATGCCCATCCAAACGTGGTGGAAGCAAATATGGCCCGATGATATGCTCTTCCACAATGCCGCACCAGATGTTTGATTGAAAACTGATGTTGGTCTCTATGGATGGCTATGACATGAGGATTTTCTTCATCCCAAATGTGACTGTTACGGCTATTAAAATAACCGTCCTTTGTAAAACAGGACTCGTCAGTGAACAAAACGTAGCGACCAAAGTTTGGTTGCCTCAACTCCTGCTGCAGCCACCAACGACAAACACGTCGACGCGGCAGATAGTCTTCTGGACCCATGGCTTGGACTTTTAAAAGGTGGTATGGGTGTAGTGGCTGGTCATGGAGAACCCGCCAAACAGTAGTTTGAGACGCTCCCATATCATGTGCAATAGCACGCACGCTTGTACGCGGATTGGCCTCGTGAAGGGCCGCCCTGCTCCCGCGAGGTATCTGATGCTGCCACTGACACGAAGACGTCCATGAATCCTTGCAAAAATGGCGTGATGCGGATGAGGTCTGGAAACCGTAGGGTGTAGATTCGCGAGGCTCGTCTTCCGTTACCACCAGCTTCTCCGTAAATTAAATGCATATCCGCAAGTTCCGCATACGAATAACGCTGCATTTTAACACTAAGGTACTGTTATTTACTATCTAGTTTGACGCACCACTCAGATAAATTAAATGAATCGGTGTGGAGAATTTACGATAACAAAAATTTAAACACGGCAGGCTTTTTTTTACAAACCGGCGAGACCATGAAATGTGCTAGACGAACATTTTGCAGCTGGTGAATTTTTTGTTTCTCCTATGAGCTCTTAAGGTAAAATTAGCGGTAGTGCTCAAACGGCATATTTACGAACAGAGGTTTATAAGGCAAAATTGCATATTTTTATGCCCTCTACAACCCCTATATTTTGTCACAATAATTATGGAACACCCTGTATATATATATATGTACTGAACTATGATACCTCACGAAGTCAAGCAACCTTATTAAATTACACTGCAAGCATAATACTCGTATATACAAGAGCGATCCGATAAGTACTTAGCCTCTCCTCCCGAGGGCGCCACTATCGCAAGAGAAATTTACTATCGTGCATTACATTCTCGTAGACGGTTGCTGTCAGAATTTCAGCCAAATCGGACTCAAACTTTTGTTTTGACCGCGTGTGGAAGCGGGCGTGTCCGCTAATTTTAGAAGAATGAAAAAGGAGCAATATCGGTCGGTGATTCGATTCTTGTGCTTGGAAGGGAAATCGAACTGCGAAATCAAAGAGCGCTTGTATGCAGTGTACGGTGACTTTTCTCCATCGATGTCGATCGTCAAAAATTGGTTTAATGAGTTTCAACGTGGTCACCCATGTGTCCCGAAAACGGCTACCACGGAGGATAGCGTGATAAAAGCCGACGATCTTGTAGTACCAGACCGCCGAATGAAGTTGGGCGAGATAGCTGGGACGGTAGGCATGGGTCATATCCTGCGTGAAACATTGGGCTTGAAAATGCCGCGCGATGGGTTCCGCGTTTGCTCGCTCCGGACAACAAGCGCAACCGTGAGACCACTCCAGAACAGCGTTAGTCGTTGTTTAAGCGCAAACTGAAGGAGTTTCTGCGTCGTTTCGTGACCGTCGACGAAACATGGATCCACTGACCAGACCAGAAACCAAGGAATAGTCAAAATAATGGACTTCACTTGGCGAACGTGCTCCAAAGAAGGCGAAAACTGTCCTATCGGCCAAAAAAGGTGATGGCCACCGTTTTCTGCAATTCACAAGGTGTGATCAACATCGACTAGCTGGAGAATGACAAATGGCTCTACTGTGCCGAACTATTGGGCCAATTCGACGTCGCAAAAAAAACCTATTTGGCGAAGACAAAAGTGCTCTTCCACCATGACAATGCACCGGCTCAGACCTCCGCCATCGAAACCGCCAAGTTGATCGAACTAGCATATGAACTGCTGCCTCATCCAGCGTATTCTCTCGATTTGGCCCAGTGCGACTTCTTTTTGTTTCCAAACTTGAAAAGCCACTCGCCAGGCAGAAATTTGAGTAGAATGAGGAGGTTATCGCCGCCACGGAGGCCTACTTTGTAGATCTCCAGAAAACATATTTTTCAGATGGGTTAAAGAAGTATCGCTGGGTCAAGTGTATCGAGCTGAAACGAGACTATGTTGCATGTACTTTTGTAGAATTAGTACTTACCGGACGGCCCGCGTATATAGATATGGCAACCAGCTCGTATGTGCATAACGCGTCTGCTACCTGCAAAAATCTCGAATCCAACCAAAGATGAAATATGCGACCGATACGTATGGGATTTGTCTGCTGGAGATATTTTCCAAGTTAAAAGCTCCCCCATGCCAACGCGAATTATTCGCACCTGATTCGTGACGGAGAATCCGCAGCGAATTTCATGGCGGATTCTGGATGAAGCCTCACACCAAAGCGAATTTAATCCCATCATTTACGTTGTATTTTTAGTACCGAAAAGGTTGGATGCCAGTGCTAGAAAATAATGTGAATTAATCAGAAAGTGATAACAAATTTTTAGAAATTTTAGACTCTGCAGAATCTGAACATAGAGCTTTTCAAACTGTACAGAATAATCCAAGGGGAGCGGCAAATTTTGCATTTTTGTACGAGAACGCTTCGTTGCTTTTTTGTCCCTACATGTACTTCATATAATAGTGTTAAAATTTTTACAGAAATATTTATGATTACTATTTTCTTAAATAAATAAATGAGGTTCAACTTACAATTTGCTCCATCTCAATTATTTTTCATTTTATTGATGCGTCGCCAAATAACAGCTAATCTGACAAAAACGCATCTGAGTGCGAGACAAGTTTTCGTGCGGATCAATACGCAGGAAAAACGACGAAAACCGCGCTAATTTGAACTTGTCTATTTACCTCACTTAAAACAATATGCTGCGAATTGTATGCGGTAAGAATATTCGTGACCATTGCGAATTTTCTGCATTGATTTGGGTGAGCACTTAAGGGCAAATGTATGGCAAATACATCCGTAAAACCTCCCCGCAATTTTTTAGCCCTACAGAACTTTTCAAAAATGATTAGGATCCTGACTTCAATTTCCACATAGCTTTTTTACCTTGACATAGTAGTAACCTTATGTAACAATTTTACCCAAATCCGAGCAGTACCTTCCAAGTTATAGGCGGACCATAAATTAGCGGACTGACAGACCGATAGACCGACAAACTGACGGGAAAGAGTGCCATCGTTTTTCGTGATGCATTTTTTTACGATCACAATACTCACTTGCAACTATGCGTAGGAAATAACAAGGCTTTTCTATTCCTACAAAAGATATATGAGACTTTATCAACTATGTATGAATACTTTGAGAGGACACACGTTTGTTCACGTAGTTCATAATGAGAAATTTTGCTTTAATTCATTTTCCACGAACCACAGCATCTTTTTGGGTTTGCTTAAGCTTGTGCACCACTTTTTGAAAGTCTCGTTCGGATGTTTCTTAATCTTCTGCTTCATGACATCTTCCTTCAGTTTTAGGTTATGTGTTGTGGACGCTTTGTGTATGGCTCGATCATAAGTTGGGTGAATCTAAAATGTAAGAATAGAAGATACATTAGCCGGTAGACGTCCGCTATATATTATAATTTGACCGAAGGCTTGAGTTCAATGTGCACGAAAAGGAGCGCGAGAAGTGTGCAGAAACACATATGTTAGAAAGAGATAGTTTTCATCGGATTATGATTCTGACGTACGCTGTGACATCCATATTCTTTATATTATAAAAAAAATTGATTTGTGTCATATAAAATTAACTATCTTACAAGCATTTACACATCTTATGGTATATTATCATGGAGGGCTGCATGTTTAATCCGTACATAAATTTAGATATTTTTCAAGAAACTATAGACAATATTACATAAACCCAAACTTCATACTACTAATGAACTGTATTCAGGCTTGCAGATGTATGATATCAGACAGCCTTATTTCTTACTCACTATCACCAAGTATCATAAATTTATCAAAATCAATAAAACATTTGGTTATAATAATTTTACAAGATGCAAAATGTGTGGAACCGTAGTTCCAAAACCACATCAATCTGTGATGCAGGAGTCGTATCTCTATTTAGCACCAAAATGTTATGTAATTTTACCAAGAGTATAAAAGATTTATGTTTCGGTAAATTAGTTTAAGAAAAAATCGAAAACGTAGGAGGTATATTCTTTGGCAAGAAAAGACATTCGTAAATTAGTAACAAACATTTGAAATTCAATTTAAAACTGTATTTCTTGCAATTATTTATTATCTCTATTGTACAGTTGCAACATAAAATTACAGGCCAATCTACAGGCAATGTCTTCTTTGGACCCATTGTTTTGCACTTATTTACTCACTTTATTTTATTTGTAGATTGGGTCAATTATAATAATTATTATCATTTTTAAAATTCATCTTTATGGTACGAAATTTTAGTCGCAATGCTAACCTTCTTCAAGTACAGTTGGCACTTTCTTGGCAATACATTGTGCATGAAAGACCAACAGGACAATACAGTTGAAGTTCTCTGACTAAGAGTAGCTACACAAGCTTTCCTCATACAAAAAAAGTTGTTAGATTGCGATTTTTTGCATAATAAGCATGCCCATAAATCTTATTCGAAAACTATTCCCTGATCGCCTTCATCAAAGTGATTTCCTGTCATCATTGACGTTTTAGTTGACAGAATGGATGTGTCAGTTTTGACATAGCTTCGTTCATGGGTCGGCATGGGTATCATGTAAAAAACCTATAAAACGTCAAAAAAAAACCTATAAGATGTCAACTTGCAGACTAGGTAGTCTTTAGGGCGCAAACAGTCATTCCACGTTTGCTCACTAGGATCGTTGTAAACGTCCATCTATGCAGGAATTACTCAGCTAAACTACGCATTATTGGTTGCATAGTTTTGTGAGGCTGAGTGATCCGGATCTGTAGTTTTTATCTCTGAGAAGAAAGCTGGTTGAATACGGGTAGCAAGATCGCATCTGGATGATTATGTTTATTCGTCTGCATGTGTATAAAATCAGTGATATTTGCTTTGTGAGAAAAGCATTACTGAATATGCCGAATATGACGGGTTATTTATATGTTCTATATGTGCTTTCTGAAGAGAGGTTATGTTCAAAGTTATAAATTACGAAAAACTAAGGAGAATTACGGGAAATCATCACCGCGCCCGCGTCGTGTGTAATTACTGTTAGCATGCATATGGCTTGTAATTCGACAGTGTACAGTGGATATAATTATTTCTTATCTCTCTCATTTTTGAAATTGAGCAAATTTGTATACGTAATTTCCACAATGGATAAGAAAAAGTGGATGCGCAACTAATTTCTAGCTTGGAATCTCAATTAAGTGTGTCTGAGACAAGAACCCAATGTAATTATCATCAACACATACAACTTACAGCCTAGACCTCCAGTAATGCCATCTCAGAAGCAGATTTTACATCACATCAGAGCCACAGGTTGATAACAAGCCTCATTACGTTTAGGCAACACGCACAACTAAGTGCTAAGTTAACAGCTTGTAGAATAACCTACATAATGTCAAAAGAAACCAGCATAATGTCAAAAAAATCGGCATAATGTCACTTGTCAAGATACGTGATACCCGTGCCGGTTCGGTATTTTTCCTGAACCACTGCGCCTGCGCAGTTACAAAATGACGTTTGCGGCAAAAAAAATCCTTATCCTTTTAGCATTTTGTGAATCGTATCTAATTGGTTCAGAATTGGTTCTGAGTCGGTCTTATCGGTTCTCGGATCTTAGCTGGGACTGAAAGTTCAAGGTTGCTGCACACGCGATTATTATGGCCTTTGTCATTTTTGACAAGAACTGTCAAGGCTGAATTCGGAAACCGTTCCAAAGTCGTTTGAGGCAAACTGGAATCACGGACTGTAATGTAACCATCACAGTAGATAGTGTAGTTCTGAATGGCCCCATTTTAGTTCCAAACTGGTTGGTTTTTTTACGCTCAGACGTAGCTAATTGGATAGATATAGAATATACAGGGTGTCCGCAAAGTTGGGATTTTCCTTTTCAGAAACAACTACCCTTGAAATAACAAAGGTAATGTGTAGTGAAGCGAGGGCGACCAAGTAAAAAAAAACAAAGGAAAAAGTACTCACTCTCCAGTTGACGAGAAGGGCTAAGTACGTCTCTGCCCGAAATCATACCGCTCCAACAGAAAATGAAATCAGCTGACGCGCTACCGAGCAGACGCAGAAACCACATTGATTGTCTTACACTTAATGGCACATCTTCTAACAAGGAAGGCAAAATGTTGCGGAAAAAGTCTAGGTATTGCATCCCGTCCAATCGATTTGGGAGAATAAATGGTCCAATGAGCATACCGTTCACCATGCCAGCCCAAACATTCACCGAAAATGTTTGTTGAAAATGTGCCCGACGGACAGCGTGCGGATTTTCTACTGACCAAACATGAGTGTTGCGAAAGTTATTCACCCCATTACGCGTGAACGTAGATTCGTCTGTCACCAATATGCACTTCAAAAAGTCCGGATTATTGTTGATGCAACAACCACTCACAAAACCGCACTCTTGCTGGAAAATCGTCAGGTTGAAGGGCTTGTACACGTTGGACGTGAAACGGATACAGCCCCTCTTCACGCAGCGTTTGCCACACTTTGGTTTTTGATACTTGCACTTCTCTAGCCACGTCTCTAGTGCTTGTTGTTTTTTGAAACGCAATCGATTACACGGGTTCGTTTACCTCTACACGCGTGACCGTAACCGTCGGTTGAAGGTTGCATACTGACCTGACACACTGACCCCGACCCAGTTCTGCCATCGGGTTGAGACCTTGTACCAATCGGTGATGTCCCAGATATTTTTGATGTTGCAGAGCCCTTTATCTCGGTTCCCTTAAGACATTGGTGTATATGGTACTAAGAAAAATTGCTTATGTTTTCAAGATCTACACGTCGTGTAAAGGAAAACCCCAACTTTGCGGACACCCTGTATAAGATTGTAGCACAAATAATAATACAGTGCAAGACACACTCAACCCCGTCCATGGCAGTTTCGATTTGTTGCCATCGATAAAGCAATGCGGAGTGTTTTTGCCGTCTTCGAACTAGAAGGGGCGATCGGCAAAATTAGCGGGGGTGGTTATTGTTATGTGTTATATTTTATACCAGATCCATATACGACTCACTTCCGAGTCGTAAAGTTCCTTCCTGGGGTGGCTTCGGCTCGCTTTCTTAGCGGAAGGGATGAATCATCCCCCTTCCAAGGATGCCATCGGCGTTGAAATAGTCAACGGGGCATTTCTGGTTAAATGTATCTTCACAGAGAAATTGGCGGAAAATAGAGATGCAATATACAACAATGAAGTTGATTTCATGGACCTTGCAGAGTTTTGTTAATTATGAGTCAACGATCTCAGAAGCATTGTGATAGAAATTTTAAGCGACCTGCAAATGTCAAGATTTTCAGTGCCCCTTTAACTCCTTTGTATACTCAAAGCATGAATACAGAAGTACTGCGAATGCTACATATAAGCTATGGCGCTAAGGGAAGTTTATTAATAAAGTGTTCTAAATATCAGAGGTAAGTAACATCTGGTATGTTATTTCTTGTTGTTCTATGCGGTGTGGCAATTACTAAGCGTTCAACGCAGTATCATCCGCCAACGTTTGTGTACAAATGGGAGACCTTTCTTTTAGCTTCAGTCCAAAGTTGAAGTCTGTAGCATCTTTTATGAGTAATTACCCGACTGCCTCAGGAGGAATGTTTTTAGGCGTGGGTATCTGAGTATCAAAAAATTATATTTCACGGCTTGATGGATTTTGACATATTTATCAGGTTTCATTCGATTCGTCTTAGTAGTGCTAGTAAAATGGCTATATTAAAATTTTATGGAACTAAAATGGTAGATTTTTGTAAAAAAATCAACCTGGAGATTCCTTGTTCACAAGCTACAGCTTAAACGGCTTGAAGGATTTTCCTATGAGGTGTTGTTGGATTCGCCTTAGCAGTGCGAGTGACAGTAGCTCTAATAAAATTCAATGAAAACAAAATTACGAATTTATATAAAAAATCTCAACCTGACTACTACTTACACAATTGAATCTCCATTCCTTTTAGTTCCTTCAATCGGATTGTTTGTATTTTTCGAAAATGTACTTGTTTTCTGAAGTGATTTTTTAGTGTCGTCGAGGGAAGGAGTAACTCACATCCCAAGCAACGTAATGTGGATACTGGATATTGCAGGAGGCATACTCAGATAAGTTGATATCGGGATCGCAGTTTAATGAGTGGGCGGGCGGTTCAGGGAAGGCAAAGTTTAGGTAAAAGAAAATCCATGTGAAGGGATTTCAGTCACTTCAGCCGAGGCAGAAGGAGCAAGCCTACGATTTATCTCCAAAATCTCAGTCTGTACTCAGGACTAAAGTGCATCTTACAAGTGGACCTGACATAATACTAGTTTTACATCAACAATTTCTTCACTTCTGTGATTTATTGCCTTTTCCAACGATATGCTACACATCATAGAAATGGAAAGAGTTGGTCGGGCTA